TCCTCATGCGGGAGGTGGGCGTGGCCGTGGAGGCGGCGTTCGCGGCCGGCGTCTGCGGGTAACTGATCGGAGCGATGGCCTGCACCATCTCCCGGTCGTGTTTCACGATCTGCTTCAGGATCTCGTTCTCCTGGTTGTTGAAAACACCAGTGTTAAGATCCTTCTGGAACTTTTGCAGAAGAATTGAATTTTTCTTGCCTGTCAGCGAAAGAAAAATAAGCGCTTAGAAGGCCTACCCAGGACAGGCGGCAACTCCCGGGGACAGTGGCTCCTGCAAGCAAGCCCGTCAGTGTGCCCGCGGGCGGTTCCGAAGCCCAGTACTCACCTTCACAAACAGGGGTGGGGGGCCTGCCCTTGGCGCTGCCTGCACCATCCTGGAAAATCCCACCTCCCATCCAGGGCAAGTTGAAAAATCTGTAACGTGGCAAAAGCCATCTTACAGAAGAAATGGAGAGTGAGGGCTCCGGTGCAGAGCCGGAGGAACGGGCATTGGGGCCAGGATGGGCCTGGAATCAAGATTTGAGTTGAATGCTTCCTTTTCGAGAAAGGACAGTGGCACGCCCACTATGTGACAGGCCATGGGTAGGGTTATTTTATTCAGCCCACTCTTGGAGGCGTGCCCACGCCCACTGCACTGAGACAGAGGCAGGGTGAGGGCAATGCCCAAGAAAATGTGGCTCCTGAGTGACTGGGCTGGCAAGGGAAAACAGCAGATGTGACATAGATGTGTCATCCTCTACTAACCAGACACACCTGTCGCACGTGAATGCTGGACCCCAGCCCCTGGGCCTCACCCACTGCTCAGCCAGAATCGGCATTTTACTGAGCTCCCCATTGGCAGTCGGAGAAGCGAAGGACTTCGTTTTTGACCGGTGTCCTCCTCCAGTCTCCCTGCATCTGTCTCATCTCTAGGCTTTCAAACACACTGAGTCCCACCTGTGCTCGACCACTTCCATCAGAATGAGCAGACCTGGGGCCCGGTTTTGACACTGTACTAGCTAATTTCCCTCCAGGATTCTTCTGCGCCGCCCTCATTGAGGACCACATCACAGTCTTCCTAGTCTGACAGGCTGTGAGGGTCTAGTGCAGTGGTTCTCAATCTTGGCTGCACATTAGAATCACCTGGGAATCTTTTTAAAATCCTGATTTCTGGGCCTCATCCTCTGGAAATTCTGTTTCGTTGTGATGGGGTGAGGCCACACCATTAGTCACAAAGAAACAGAATTTCCGGAGGACGAGGCCCAGAAATCAGGATTTTAAAAAGATTCCCAGGTGATTCCAATGTGCAGCCAAGGTTGAGAACCACTGTTTGTGGCGGGTTCTCAGCTCACTCCAGAACTCAGTCACCATAACCATCACCCCTTCTTCCTGCCATTGTCTCCCCAGGGCTCTGCAGTTAGCAGACATTCTGTGGCAGAATAACTACCAGCACCAGGAGTAGGCTGATGAAAGATGGGAAATCAGTGACTTTCGATGACATCATTCATACCCAGGTGAACGTGGTAACTAAAAAGTGAATCAATTTGCCCAATCACTTAATAAAGTGTGACATCTAAAGGAACAAGAAATATTTTTGAATGAAAATATATGCTAAAATTTACTCAATGCTGAGAAAAACAATCATTTTAATTTTATTTTTGATCTTATTGATGTACAATTGACACACACATCCTATTAGTTTCAGGTTGCAATCATTTTAAATGACTGACAGAATGGATAGCTGTCTATCTCTCCTTTTAGAATTGACCTACCTTCCCAAAGAACAAACATCCCTAGGTTAGGAAAAATGTAAATACTTATTTAGCATATTCCCTTAACTAATTATAATATACATTAATAAGAAATGATGACAGTTGAGAAGGATTGCATTTCTTTGCGATCATGTGAAGAGTCAACATTTCATAATCTAATATCTGTGACCATGTGGAAAAATACTATAACTTTTATTGTTCTGTTAGCATTTTATAAGAATTAAAAATGCAAATGTTTGATGCTTACTAGCAATTTCATTGCCTATACTATTAATTATGAACCATTTCATGCAAACCTTTTTTATAAACTGCAATGAATTAGAGGAGAATAAAGCTGTATCAGATAAAGAGATATTTCCTATTGAAATAACCTAATTTTAATGCTTTCTCTAAAGATGTGGAGCTGGTTTAGGAAAAAGAATTTATATGCTCAGAAATTAATCTCTAGTTCTGCATGAACATTCATGCACCACAATGAGGGAAGTTATTTTCAAATTAAGTAAAGATGCTTTGAGGAGTACTCACTCCTTTGATGGGCACTATGCCCTGTTAAAGCTCTAAGTTGTCATTGTGAGTTTCTAAGGTATGAGTTAAGTCTAATGGTAATATCCAAATACTATCTTTTTTCTCCTGACCTAATTTCAGATCCTATGCAGTCTGTTATCCTAACATTGATGGAAGGAAAGAGGTGAAATGCAGCAGAAAAGCTCACATATCCATACATCAATCACAAGTCCTTACCTTTAATAAGAGTGAAGCAGTTGCAATACCTCTTTGCTTACTTTCAAGTGATCCCAACCCCATCTCCTTTGAGTTCATTATTCCTTCAACCCTCCCTACCTCTGGCCAATAAAATACGCTGTGCACCGGGTGCTGTGAATGTAATAGTGAGTTAGACACGATCTCTGCAGTTACAAAGCTGCGCATCCCTAGTGCAGTTACAGCACTAAAAGCTGGAACTTCCCAGGGATATGGGAGAACATATCTGGGTACTCAGCCTATCAGGGGGTGGGGTGTCTAAACTGAGAGGAAGATTAGTAGAGTTAAGCAGAGAACAGGGGCAGAGCAGGGCAGGATGGGGAGGAGGATCTGGGTGTGTAAATGAATGCATATTTCTGATATCACAGTGTCCCAGCAGATCTTGGGAAGTTAACTGCAAGCCAATCTAATGTAACGACTATGGCAACTAGTCTTTAAACTAGTGTAACCAATAAGGCTAATTTATACATTTTTATTTGAGAGCAGAGCAGACTAAATTGATATTTGCAAAGTAAAGCATCTATGTAGGACATTTATAGCAAGCCTTTTTTTCCACTTGAGTCTGCATTACAAATACTGCAAGAAGTTTCTACTGAGACAGTTATTTAACACAAGTTCTCATTTCTTAATATAAGGATAAAATGTAAAGTGGAACCTTAAAAAAATCCTTGTGGTAACTTTGGTTTGTAATGTAGACTCATACATTGGAATTTTAATTCTATTTTAATGCTATGTAGAATTTTTATCATTGCTTTTTACCTGAAAATTCAAATTGTATTGGCATCACTGGGGAAATCAGATTGCATAGCTAGTAAAAATAGAGATGAATAAGTAAACCTAGAACACTGAGAAGAGAAAGTTAGAGCCTCGGATCTTTCTAGAAATAGAGCTACAGCTAATTGCTACTTCTATGCAATTGAACAATCAGTTTGTGAACTAGCATCTGGGACTGATGACTGCAAATACGAATCAGCCCACTAGATTAAAACTGAACTGTGCATGAAGAAGACAAAACCAAAAAGACTACCTATCCGATCTAGTCGGTCAATGGCAACGGTCTCAAAGGCTCTTCTCATCATTGGATATTCCTCCAGGACCTCATTGAAGTTGTCCACAGAAAGTGAATAAAGACGGCAGTATGTGTCAGCTCGAACACTGGCAGTGCGGCGTCCCTTGGTCAGCAGGCAAATCTCTGTAAAAACAAGGAGGACAGATTTGTTTGGTCATTTTCTGTTAGAGGCCATTATGGCATCCCAAAATTAAAGGTAGAATCGCATGGTGTGAGAACCCAATGATTAGCAGCATCTTCTGTTTTACCAGCTAATTTTTTTTGACAATTAAAAGTATCCAATTGCCAACACTCAATCTTAAAATATTCTTCTTCTTTTTAAAACAATTGAAGCTTTGGGCTCAAAGGGAACGCTGAGACATATTTATCTTGCCTCAGGTTCCCATTCCATTCCCCTTGATATAACAACAACAAAAAAAGATGCAGGAAGTGAATAATAAATGCACAATAGAGTTGAAAACAGGAAGAAACCATGCTGAGGTAGAAGGTTTTTTTTTATGAATTCTGGACGAGAGGCAGAATGGTAAGAACTAGGAAAATTCCTTGGCACGTGGGATGGGGAAAGAGACAGCTGAACAAACTGGTTGAGCAATTTACAGCCTGGTCACCAGGTACAGAAGGTCACCAGGGTGGAAATCCTTGAGTGCCTAGCAAATGGCAAAACTGAGAAAATAAGAACTTTGCTTCCAGGGCGACCTTTCCTCCCCCAGTGTATTACTGGTCATCAGGTTTAGACCCCCTGGCTTTTATATCTCTGGTCATGTGGTTCGGACCCTCTCCTGACCTTTCCTCCCCTGGCATATTGCTAGGCATGTGGTTTGAGAGCCCCCTTAGAGGGGAAATAGAGGCCAGAGATAGCCTCACAGGAACCCCATGTAAGTCCTCACTGACCACTCCCTTAAGCAGTCAGCCCTAGAACTATCATCTTGGCCTCAGTTGTTTTTCAGATCCAGGCCCAGAGAAGCAGCAAAGCCAGACAAAGTGATGCCATGGCCGACATCAGGACCAGCTGCAACGACTAATGACCCCCTACATTGTGAACCTCAATTCATTTTAATAGACACCATGATCCTGAAAGGACACACCTGGGAAAGCTGATAAATATAATGTTGAGATCCTTCCCCGAGACCTCCAGATAAAAGCCCTCGAGACCAAGGACACGGTATATGCATCCACCTTGAAGAAAGTCCACTGGTGTCTCCTTTTTGAGTGTATTTTACTTACTTTTCTCTTAAGCTCTAATGGCTGCGGTGAGACTTGCAACCAGGGGAGCAGCAGGCAGTGGCAGCCCATCCTAGGCTAACCCCCTGAACCTGTCTCCAAGGCCCCCTTTTCTCTGACTTTTCACTGAGCTAACAGCAGCCCCAATCTGGCTCACTGCTGCCTCTGTGACATTTACTTCTCAGTGAGTCCATGCAGCCCAGCCTGGCTCACTTCTTTCCTATAATGTTTCTAGAGAGTCAAAGCAGAACACCACCCCCGCTCTCTCCTGTTGTTTCTTCTATCATAATCCCCTCCTTTATTTCACTATCGCACCTTCAATAAACATGTTCTCAACATCATCTGGACTCATGTTGTGAAATCATTCTTGTACAAAGTTAAAACCCACACACGAGGCCAGCCCAAGTCACATGTGCTCTGAGCCTGGTCCCTTTCCAGTGATGGAAAGCATGAGCAAATGGTAGCATATAGAAAGAAACCAAAATGAGCCCAAACTTTGGCTTAGAAAGTCCTATGATGAAGCAAAACTGGACCAGTGGAATGCATTACCGGCATGCCTTATGTAGTTCCTATATTTCCAATAAGATCAGTATAAAATTGTTATTCCATATCCACTGAGGGTGTCCTATTTAAATAACTTCTAAGGAGAACTCTTCATTGAAATTTAGCTTCCCAATATATGGTAAATAAACCTTTGCAAATTTGGATTTCCTTATTTACTAACTAAATAAATGATAAAAGCAATAATTTCATTTTCAAAATTTATTAATTGAATTCCTGTAGGCTAATCCTTAGGGTATCAGATGTACCAACTGCCCCATGCTATTTTTGTTGACATTAGTTAACCCTGATTATAAACATTTCATTTCTCCTGAGATTATTGTTACTTACATGAACAGTCATGTGATAAGGTAGGGCAAATAGCCTTAAGAGTTTGCAACAATATTTCCCAGACCTCTAAAACAGAGCTTAACATCACAGTAACACAGAGCTAGTCATGAACTTACAGCAGAAGTTTGTAAGGTAATGTGTTTAACCTGAGTTTCTAGAATGGGTGGGAAAATTTGTATGTGACTGCTTGTAGTAACCAAGGTAAAAGCTGCTTCTTTCTTTTGTAACTGATGTCATGAAATAAAAGTACTCTCTTGTACATCAAAATGCTAATTTTCTACAAATTACTTAGGTTTCTTATCCACTGTCTCATAATAATGTGCAAGAAGAAATATCACTTTTTGGTTTTCTTTTTATATTTGTATCTATAATCTTTCCATCTTTACACTAATGAACTAGTAAAATAGTATTTCTTACGACATAGGAGATGGTAACATCTGGCTTAAATCAATTTGCATATCAAGCTTGGCTGGTAGAACCATTTTAACTGTCAAATGGAATTGAATAAAAATCTAAAGGAATTAAAAGTAGGATAAAATATTAAATAGATGTAAATTTTGTAGTATTTGATGTATTTTAAAATATTTTATATTTTTGAAACAGATATTGGATATAACATATTTTCAAATGTAGATATAAAGTGATAATTATGTGTACCTTGATTATATATACGATACATATTCTAATAAATAAAATCAATTTTGCTTTTTTCTAGATATAACTGATCATTTCAGCTCCTATAGACATAGTCATATTTGTACAATTATTAGTGTCCTCTACTACTGCTCATCCTGTTATTTAAGACTAGAGGCCTGGTGCACGAAAATTTGTGCACTGGGGGGGGGGTGTCCCTCAGGCCAGCCTGTGACCTCTCACAGTCTGGGACCCCTTGGGGGATGTCCACCTGCCAGCTTAGGCCCACTCCCTGGGGACATCCTTAGTGCTGCCAAGGAGGTGGGAGAGGCTCCTGCCACTGACCCTGCGCTCACAGCAGTCAGCCCAGCTTGTGGCTGAGTGGAGCTCCCCCTGTGGGAGCACACTGACCACCAGGGGGCTGCTCCTGCATTGAGCATCTGCCCCCTGGTAGAAAGTGTGTGTCATAGCGACCAGTCAATCTCGGTGGTTCTACTATTAGGGTCAATTTGCATATTACCCTCTTATTATATAAGATTATTAAGATCATCTAAAGTTACTGCCTTGTCAAACACACCTTAATTCTCCACCTATGTTTGGAGAGTTAACCTGTGTTTTTCAAGGCAGTAACTTTTCATCTGTCTTAAAACAGAGGATTAGGGTGATCAGCTGGGGTTCTGAGTATTGACCTAATAGTGGCCCTTCAGACAAGTTATTCATTGACAAAGCTGTAATGAGGACGAACTAAAATAGTGCCTATAATGTGCCCAGTATAAGCCCAGCACAGTATGGACACTACTTAAACATGAGTGTCCATCCTTTATCTCTTATGTCCTTTCTCCCTGTATGCTTGTGATTTGGGCTCTGTCTGCCAGAATTAAGAAAAAAAGTAATGCTTCATATATCATTAACTCTCCAAATTTATGAGGTGTATATAATCTCCCACACCCTCCACTCTCTCGCAAACAATTTGTTCATAAAGTAACCACACTGATTCCTTAGATTTGTCTCAAGTACTATGGTTTCACACCCATGAACATCCTTTCTTAAGTTCCCCAGGAAGAATTGATCTTTGTGCCTCCTCTCCACCATTATCCTCTTGCATCTCAGCCCTTACAACACATTAGTGGACTTATTTGCTTTTACGATATTTCTCTACACTCAACTATAAGGTCTTTAATGAAAAGTATAACAATCACATATGCAATTTCTAGCACTTACCACACATTTAATCACATAATATCACTTGATTCAAGAAATAAGGAATGAATGAATCAACAAATGTGAAGCAGAATTGACTTATACCAGGATGGAAATATTCTTCATAAAATGAGGTGCTCACATCTGAACACAACATTCCAAATAGCCATATCATTTTGAGGAGTTTTGACCCTAGCCACCAGAAGTCACATTGCTCTTATCATTTATCTATTATAGATTATGAATTTGCTTATGATATGACTATTTTATATTGTTGGATATGTAAATATCTCCATTAAGGTTTATATATTCCACTCCTTAACCTCTCATCCTTTTCCCTCCCTTAGGAGGTCTGTGTCTTAAAATTCCATTGTGACTTCTTCAAGTACCCAATGTCTACATATGATCACCTTTACACATTACTATCTATAAACTGTTATCTACTATATATTTATAGGGCCTGTCCTTGGCAAGTTAAAATACTTGATGGACTATCCCAGGAATTCTGAGAATACCTGTTGAGCAGGTAGGAAACATTGCTAGCCCCATGTTGGCCATGTGATAAACAGAAGATTAAAGAGGACCTGTTATGCGACTGGAACAGAAATCACACAAAAATATCAAAGCTAAGAAGGATAAGAGCATGGTTTCCCTACTTCTATCCAACTCTAAAAATCCACCAGACTACTGCAAGCCTTTCCTTTTGATTTTAAGTCTACCAACACTCAACTCTTTAAAAGTTAATCAAACACTTTGAATTATAAATGCCTTTAAAAGCAGCTAGCTTTTTAAAAATTCATCCAATGAATTCAGCTCTTAGATACCTCAAGTGTGTGTGTGTGTGTGTGTGTGTGTGTGTGTTCAAGTAATATCCTGATAGCTTTGTTTTCCTATGTGGTTTAATATCTTTACCCAAAATGAAAAAGAAAAGTACAGCAGAAATAATAGTCTAAATAGAAAAATATATTCATTATATATTTCTTAGGGGAGTCTATGACAGCAAAAAAAAATTGTCTCCCCAATTTTTCTCTGGCTTTCTCTTTTTCTTCCTTACACACATATGCACATACACGCATGAATAGTAAAATGGAGATTTAAGTAGACATTTCCTTGGTTTATTTAATGTAAAAGTTAATGCTCAACTGATTCAGACGGATTCTTTAGTGCAGCATTTCCCA